TCCCTTTGGGTGTTGGAGATAGGGTAGTGAGTTTGAAGACTCCACCTTTTGTTGTTTCGAGCATCTTAGAGCACATGAGGATGTTATGCTCCAGAAAACATCATTCTCATTGTAATGTTATCATTTTTATCTCACTTCTCGTTTGTTAAAGTAAACTCTTTCGGCGATTGATGGAACCTTTTTTTTAAGTTTTCTTTTTTGGTCGAAACCTTTTTTCTTTTAAGTTGATCGGTCAGTTTTTACTAGATTCTTCCAGCTCCGGTCCGTTGCTGATCTCAGCATCTTATAGCACACATGACCTAGGAAGTTATTTTCCAGGAAACATCATTTTATTTTGAATTTACCATTTTTATCTAAATTCTCACTTCTTAAAGTAAACTCTTTTAGCGATTATGGGTTTTTTTTTTTCCTAAGTTGATTGGTCAATTTCTACTATTGTTAGTTTTTCAATGATTGAAGGTTATCTTTGTAGATGTTTTTTTTTCTTGAAGTTTCTCATATCTCAATTGTTTAGGAGAATTCTGTTTATGTGCCGGATGAGCAATAATGTTTCTGCTAAATCAATGTGGATCTTGCTTATAGATTGCATTTTTGGAATAAGCTATTTCCCTTGTGCATGTGCTTCATTTAAGTGGTCACATCATTTGTCTTTGTTTTTTTATCATACATTACGCCTTTAATTTTTGGTTCTGAGGCCACTGTAAATTTACTGTCATGTTTTTTCAACCTTCTGTCAGGTGAAGGATCGTCATAATGGGAATCTCTTATTGGATGAAGAAGGGCATATTATTCATATTGATTTTGGCTTCATGCTATCAAACTCACCTGGTGGGGTGAATTTTGAAAGTGCACCTTTCAAACTAACACGTGAACTTCTTGAGGTAATACAAGTTTTCATTTGAGTCACATTTCAGTTTTTCTGTTACTTTTTATTCACATGGAAGTTTTGCCTTCTATTTGGATGAGGTTTTGAATTGTAAACTGCGGCAGGTCATGGATTCTGATGCTGAGGGAATACCAAGTGAATTTTTTGACTACTTTAAGGTACGGGAACAACTTTTCAGTAATAAATGATTTTGGCTTCTTCCCTTTACATGTGTTCATGATTTTCTCTTCCAGGTTTTGTGTATCCAAGGTTTCCTTACATGCCGCAAACATGCAGAGCGTATCATTTTGCTTGTGGAGATGTTGCAGGTAAGTGGAGTGCTATTTATTGCCCACCAAGAGCTCATCAATTGACTTGAAAAGATTTAGCCATGATGACCTGAATTCTCAAGATTAACATTTTACAGATACGATGGGTGGCCTAATGGGAACTATTGATTTTGTGACTGGCCACAGCATTTTACATTCAATTCCTTGTGATTTTTATATTGCTTTTCAGCGCATGCTTGTATTCTTAGATTTATGAAGAATCAGGATAACATCTTGTAAATTTTATTTGAGCATGGGACTGTGAAGTGTGAAGTAAGCCTGATTTTGAAAGATGTCTAGTAATAGATTTATTTCTTTCCCACTTTAAAATCAGTTAATTCCAAAATGATTTTTGCTCCTCAGAAAGAAAACTAGTGTTATTACCGAACTAAAAATGCTCATTTTGTGAGTGCGAAGTTTTAGTGGCTTGAGGAGCTGCAACTGTGGAAGTATTGTAATTGTTTTACCATTGCTGGCCTCTCATCCAACTTGTGGGGTAATTGGGTGGACATGTAAGGTTGTTTACCTGAGTTCCTTGAGACCAATAATCAATCAGCCATACGTGCGTGCACCAGACCTTAATCTGAAATAGAATTATTTGTCTTGATTACTTCGATGACATATAACTTACCTCTTTGCATTGATTGGGTCAGGACTCTGGGTTCCCTTGCTTTAAAGGTGGTCCACGGACCATTCAGAATTTGAGGAAGAGATTTCACCTAAGTTTAACGGAAGAGGTTAGTTCTGAGTTGATACTTATGATTGCGATGCACCTTCTTCGTTTGCTACGGTTGTTACAGCGGTGTGTCTTGGTTCTGGCAGCAATGTGTATCCTTGGTGCTTTCCCTAATTAGCAGCAGCTTGGATGCATGGCGGACGCGCCAGTATGATTACTACCAGAGGGTTTTGAATGGGATACTATGAGCAGTGATTAAGTTTGTGATTACTGGGTCATTTTATTTGGTGTGGCTGCCGGGTATGAAAGTTTCCCGTCACACTTGACTGGCCCGGTTCGTGTGCACTTGGAGGGCTGCTTATTCACTGTTGGATGCCCTTCATATGTCTTCACGGTTGCAAAGATTTGTGATTCTTCTGGGTTTCTGGCTGGCCTACTTGTATGTGGATGAGCATGATGCGACTTTGCCGGCGAAGATTCGTCATGAAAGTCATAGGCAGCTTATAACTGTTACTCTGGAGCTTCTGTCCAAAGAAGATACCCTTTCTTCCATGTACTTTGGAATCCATTTATTGCAAGCATTGGTACTACAACATGACATCCATAGTCAAACGAGCATACTGTACAGAGAGGTTTTATTGGGGGAAGATACAAAGGACTCGTCGGTGGCCAATGAAGTTCGAGAGTCTCCGATTTCTGTAAATCAGTCCCGGCATTCAGAAGATGCGCGATTCTCCCCTTTTCCACATTGGTCATCCAGTGAGATCTAATCTTCCCCGCATAATATTTTTCCATGAAACGAACACACACATGTAGAATCGTTGGGAAAAAGGGCATGTGGTTTCCTTTGTTCCCTCTCTTTTTCCTTTTCTGCCTTTGCTATAGGCATGTGATCATTTGTAAGGATGTGTAAAATTTTTTGGGGTTTTGATTTCTATGATGAAGGTCGCCGCCTTCTCGACCACGATACTGTCGGAACAATGTTCAAACTGTCTTGCCACGGTCAATATCGAAGCTTTTAGTCTGAGCAATCTCAAAGAGGACACTGGTCCATGCTAATACACATTGTCGATGAATGTTTCATACTTGGAGAAGATGGCATACCGCCATTTCATGTGCTGTGCATCTATGTTTCAAGTACCACCCGTTTGACGTCGGGTCGATCGGGCCAATCATTACTGACGAAAATCACACGATCGATCTGGTCACGCTTGATGCAGGTGCATCATTTGCACGATCTGTTGCAGTCTTTGGTTGACTTTGGCAGCCGATGGGATTTAAACATCAAATTCTAGGTGACATGCAAGTCCAACTCATATGACCCCATCTATAGGAGAAATCATTAGCCCGATGGTGGGATAGGTACAGTATAAGTGCTATAATTTTCGTACAACGCTTATATGAATGTCATAATTTTTTTCGCTCACTTAAGTATCATATCGGATTAAAATTGATCATTTGAGTGTCGCTTCTAGCAAATCGTGCTACGCGGATTTTTTGTATTTTTTTAAATTGATTATTTTTGTTAGTTTATATTTTTGATTTTCCCTTTTTTTTTTTTTTTTGCTCTGGTCGCAAAGGCCTCACCCTCGACTAGCAGGGCCTTTGCAGCCTCGCCCGGGGCCTTTGCAGCCTCGCCAGCTGTGGGTGAGGGCCTTTGCGCCGATCGTGGCCGAGGGAGCGAAGGCTCTCGCCCAGATTTGGCGAGGTCGGCAGCGGATTTTCCGGCGAATCAAATTGTCGATGGCACTTAAATGATCGATTTTTTTTTTTTAAATTCGTGGCACTTGAGGGATCGATTTTCCAAATCTGTAGCGCTTAAGCAAGCGAAATAAATTACAAAAAAATTATTCACGTCGGCGTCGGCGGTGCCACATAAGACAATCGGGGTCTACGTCGGATTTTTCAAATTTGTGGCATTCAAATAAGCGAAAAAAAAATTATGAACCAACTGTCGGGACACTCCAAACTCCTCCTGTTCTTATCCCTAATTGTCATGGACTTCTCCGTTTTTTTTTTTGACTTCAAAAAGTAAGTGGGGAGCTTGGGAATACTCTCGGTCGTACGTTGCGTGAGGATCTATCTTTTCAGCGACGGGGTGACGAAGATTCTGTGTTAAGCCTCGTGCCGAAACGAGTTGTCGTTTCGCACTTTCTCTCAAGGCAAAAGAGCCGCTCCCCCTCCCGAAGACGAGGCGCGTGCGCGAGGTTTTGGTAGCTATCAAGGCGGAAGCTTGCAAGAGACGCGTTCAATACGTGGCAATTTTTTTATTATATAAAAAAAAAATTTGGTTATTTTTTTTTCGGTTTCTAGAAGAAGTAATTATTTTACCCAAATGTTTTTTCTCCTATTTCTACTACTACTTCTTCTTTTTTTCGTGTGATCTTTTTTTCTCTTTCGCACCAAATTCAAAATTTCTTTTTTCTCTTTTGTAATTCGGAATTCCCGGTAGCATTCGAGTAAAATATAATTATACTCGCGAGAGACTTAAACATCCTTTTTTTTAATTTCCTTCGTTTTCGCGAAGTAAAAGATAACCAATCAGGCAAAAGGCAGGACGAACAACGGCTCTGTGGATTGAATTGGATAGTATGTTCTTGTTTGTACAAAAAGAAAAAAAACAAACGATCTCCAAATAAATGTATTCCTACTTATTATTAGATAGCTCTTTAGAGAATATAGAAAATTAATATCACGTCGTATCAAATCGAATAATATTTCGTATAATCTTTTCAAAGACGACGAGGAATTGCAGATGATTTTTCTTAATATTCACATCCACATGCTCCTCTTTTTTTCTTTTTTCCTGCGTATTCCTGTTTCAAAATGAGGGGAAGATTGGCGTTAAAGAATTTATACAGAAAAAACACCCTAGGAATCAAGAGCCAAGAAAGGGGGGGGGGGGGCAGAAAATCGCTGCCTTGTTAGGTTTTTCCTCCTCCAAAAACACTAACAAGGAAAAAGCGATATACTCTTTTGCATTGACTACTGGTGAAGTCTTCCCTCCCACTCCCCCCCCCTTCTCTCTCTCTCTCTCTCTCTCTCTCTCTCTCTAGCTTCTCCTGCCTACTTAAAGAGCGAAGCTACTGCGTCTCCTCCTCCTCCCCCACCACTTGCTTCCCCCCACCACCACCACCACCACCACCACCATCTCCTCTCTCCTCTCCCCTCCCTCTCTCGACTCCCCTCTGCTTCAAGTGTCTTCTTGGCTGCGTTTCCTCCATCCGGGTATTGTTTCTTGGATCTTTCTCTTCCCCCCCGATTCTTGGGTCGATCGGGGTCTTTTGGGTCGTCTCGCGTCCGTCGAGATCTTGCTCCCCGCTTCTTCCTCCCTCTGTTGTGGGGGGTTGGTTTCACGCGCTTTCGTGCTTGGGTTTTTTTTTTGCGTAATCGGAGGTTCGCGCTCGGGTCTTCTTGGCGGTCGATCGTGTCCCGTTCCGCGTTAGGGTTTTCGTGGAAAAGAGAGGATCTTGGAAGTGGGTCTTTGTCTCGATTGTTTGATTAGGGGGGGTTTGGGTCTTCATACCCAGTTGGGTGTTTTGGGGAGGGGAAGGCTCGAGTTGCGATATCGCTCGGATTCAAAAGCTTGTATCTTTGACGGTGCTGTTAAATCTTGTTCGGTTGTTTCTTGAATTGTGGTAGTTCCAAGGCGATCGGGGTGCTTGATAGCCTGTTTGATTCGTTAGGGGTTTCCTTGGGCACGCTTTCGCTAATGATTTTCGAAACAGGGTTTTTATCGCACGCCAGATGTCTTTTGAAGGGAGCGAGAGACACTCGTCATTTCTTCGTTGTGTCTACATTTTCATGATCCGCGGAAGGCTCTGCTGCACCGGGAAGATCCTGTTTCGGCATTGGACCTGACGGATCGTTGTTTACTTCGCAGCTTTTACTTTTCAGTTTAGTTGTTTGTTTACGACCTTTGGTAATTCCTCTGGGAAAAAAAAGGGGGACTCCGACACTCTCAGTTTTTAAGATTAAGAAAAAAGAATTTTGCTCTATTTGGTGCTTGTGAAGAGGAACTCTCGAAATTTGGCTTGGTCTCCCCGATGGCGATAACATCTCTTCCTCCGGGTTTCCGTTTTCATCCTACTGATGTCGAGTTGGTCATGTTTTACCTCAAGAGAAAAGTGCTTGGAAAGAGGTTTCCTATTGAAGCAATTGCAGAGGTTGATATATATAAGTTTCCTCCTTGGGATCTTCAAGGTACGTGGAAGTTTCTTTCTTTGTCTGTTTGGTATTTGGGTTCAGATTGAGTGGTTTTTTTTTTTTTTTGGTTGGGAACATGATTCGGTGTGCTAAGTATGATTTTGTTGCTCCCCCGATCAGGTAAAGCTTGTTTGAGTAGAGATCTGAAGTGGTATTTCTTCTGTCCCCGTGGGAGGAAATATGCAACTGGTGCTAGAACAAACCGATCGACTGATTTTGGGTTCTGGAAAACTACTGGAAATGACAGGCCTGTAATTTACAAGGATGAACCTGTGGGAATGATAAAAAGCTTAATTTTTCATCGTCGCTTGGGCGGGGAACGTAAGTCAGAGCGAACAGATTGGGTGATGCACGAGTATAGGCTTGAGGATGAGGGTTTGAAGACGCAAGGGGTGGCACAGGTATTGCCTTGTCAATTCCTGATAAGAATTAGGCAAATCCTCTTCTTATGGAACTCTGATCTCCTTGCGTGAATATTATATGTGAGCGAGTTTGTTATCATTATTGTTTGACGTTGTTTATAGTGTCACGCATCTCGTGGACCTGTGATGTTATAGTCATTTACCATAAGCAAAGCTAGTTGGGTTTCTCCATTCTGATGATCATATTTAGATTTGGTTATATAGCCTGGTTGGCTTGATTGAGATTTTGTACATGGTTTTATCCGAGACGTTGACCCGCCCGTCCAAGTTCATGTACTTTTATTCTCTTTTGAATTCTTTCGTTAGTTATGAAGTAGGCAATTCTAGTCTGCATATTCAAATGGTTTTATCTTGTCCTGATTATGTCGCCAAACCCCTGCATGTGATTATTATGGTGTCTTTAGCTTTTCAGTGCACATCATCCAGAGTCTCTATATATTGTTTTTTTTTTTTTTTTTGGGTAAGGCATCTCTATATATTGTTGACCTCTTGCTCTTCAATAATCTGTCCAACTCTGCTTTGCTCATCTTTCGCTTGCACTCTGCCAAGTATGGTTTCTATTTTCTTGGACCTGATGTTGCTTTGAGGAGGCAGGGAGAATCTGGAGAAATGATTGATGTTTGGTGTCGGGTTATGCTGTAGCTTAGAAATGCTACGTGTTTTTTCTGCATTAACAATTTGAGCCACAATATGGTCTTAATTTTCTCGAGAACATTAGCTGTTAAGGCTGCGACTTGGTGAACTTCTTTCATGACTTAGTAGGGCTTTATGATTGTATGGTCCAGTAACTCACAATGGTAAATTGGTGCCACGTGTTTGAAGGCAGGGGAGTTATCTTGGCGATCATTGAAGTTGCGTGTTTCAATTATTTGTCTCAAGACTCTTTTTTGAATGGTTTATCCTGAGGCTTTTTGATGTTTGCATGTCTTTGTTTGCGAGCTGGATCATCTGCTGAGACAATTGTAATTACTTTACCTAGGCAGGTATGTCTATAGGTATCTAGGTGTCACGTGGACCTATGCATGCCTATGTGCATTTGCATCTTTGCCAGCACAACTCAGCATATATTGATAAGTAACCCCGAAATCTGGTAAATGGACAGTTCCATTAATGGCAAATTTCTGTTTTGTATGCTTTCTTCTTTGCAAATGCTGCAGTCCTAACGTATTACTCCATAAATCAATGAATTAGCACAATACTGATAAACAACTTTTAGTGGTTTGTACATGGAACTCAATCAATTGGTCTGTAATAAACTCTCGTTATAAAACTTTTTTGACCGATTCTTCACCATTAAAATTATAATCTTCAAAAAAAGAAAGAAAGGTTCTAATCTTCACATATTTTTATCCTCAGTTTCGGTTGTCCCTTCTTGCGATTTTCAATAGTTCAATCCCACGGATGCATATATTTGATGTTGCGACAATACTGAACTAGTTTTATATTTGTCCTTATCAGGATAAAGAACTGATCACTGAACTTTCCTGAGCTGCAGGATGCATTTGTACTTTGTGTGATCTACCAGAAAGATGGTCCTGGTCCCAAAAATGGTGCCCAATACGGAGCACCCTTCGATGAGGAAGAATGGGAGGATGATGGAGAAGCTGATGTCCCCTCCGTTAGCGCTTTCACTCAGGCATTTATTTTACCTGATAAGCAGAAGCATTATGCTGGCATCAGAATTACAGATCCTGAGCGATACTGTGTGGAGTCCACATCCAAGGCATGCCCAGCTGGACCATCTCAGATGGTGCCTTCTGTTGTCAATGTGCCTCCGCCAGCTCCTACCAATGACGTCACAATGGAGGGTCCTCAGAACCCCTGTGATGAATACCTTCTTTCACATGGTATCTTTGGTGATGATATCCCTGCAGCATTTTCTGAAAACGACAAAGTTGAGGTTTGTATTTGTTCTTCACTCTTCATGGCTATCCTGCTGATCACAATTGCTTTATTGTGCTAATGCCTTTTTGAAGAAGCTCTCATATGTTGGTAGTTTTCTTTTCCTTGTCCAAGAAAAATGTTGATAATTTTCTTTTTATTTATACATAATTTTATTTATTTCGTTTATTGTTGTATTCTGTTGTCAACCTGATGTCCCATCTGCTGCTGCTTTTAAACTTCTTTCTGAGCTTGGTGTCTGACATTTATCATTCACTTTCTTTACACCCTGTCATCTCATCAGGGAGTAATTTCTTTAAAACAAAAAAAGGCTTAAACCAACTATTTTTGAGTCAATGCTAAGGTTCCAAATTCCGTGGTTCGGCTTTATGTTGATGATTCTAAGCTAATTCAAGGAACCTCATGCAACACAGCTTATTAATTGTAACCATTGAAGTCTGTATGCAATTGATCATCTCTTATCAAATAGAAGCACCAAGAAGAGGTTGATGATCCTAGAATTGTGTTGGTGTTTTATTATGGCATGCTCTGCTTAGGTAGGTTTCAGATTATTGATAATAGAGCTATGGGATTTATCAACAGTTGTCAGATGCTGTCCCTCTTGTAAGTTATCTAGAGAAACAATATTGTCTGCACTGGACAACTTTTAATAATGATCATATTTTCCTATCATATTGTTCCATCAGACAAAATGAGTCCATTGGATGAGAACTTATCAATTAAGAATCAAGTAAAATTGATGGGACTAAATTTCTATTTTAAACCCAATATTGCGTTAGGCAAATTTGAGCTACTAGAATGAGACCTTACTTATTGACAAGATGCAAACGGGACCAAAAAAGAGGCAGAACGAACTAGGAGATGATGCTAAACTTTGGCAAGATTTTTGTAATATTGTGAGAGCTCGTAATAAGTTCTTATTGTTTAGCACGGGCAGTGAACCGACTTCTTTTTAATATTGGATAAATGAAATAAGTGAATGGACCCTTTGCTTTTGGATTTTATGATACGACTTCTTGAACTCTTCACTCCTCTCCTGGTTCAAAGTATTTTTCTTCAGATTGATGGCTAAAGAAGTATTTTCTTACTTTTCTGTTTCTTTATCCATTTGGGTCAATTTTGGGGGATCGATCTCCACTTTGTCTTCGGCAATCTAATGCAGAATGTCAAAATATTTGTGGCTGTCATTCATCAGCTATAGGATTTATTATTCATCGGCTAATTCTTATCTTTCCTGTTTTCAGAACCCTGACCACGTCAATCCTGATGGAATTCACGAAGCTGAATTTACAATGGATGATATCTTCGATGGTTTAGAAGACCTTCCTGACTCATTGGCCCCATCTCATCACCTTAATAATTTTGCGGACACAAACTCTAATGCAAATATGTTTCCTTTAAGTGAACCATATTTGGAGCTGAACGATTTCAATGCTGCATTGACTTCAGTTGATGCTGGTCCATCTGGACGCAACCATTCAGAGAGATACCTCTCTGCAAATGATCATTCTATTGCTGCTCAGGGATTCTGGACTCCAGTAATTCCTGATGAAAATGCTCCTGGGTTGGGGTTGATAGATCTCGAGAGTCCGTTGACTTTCTCTGGTGAGGCTGGTCAATCCAATCAAGCGTATGTCGATGCCTTTTCTGCTCTGGGTGGTAGCGATGGTTTAGGTGGATTTGGCACCATATCCAATTCTCCTGCTTTTGCTCAGCCATTCCATGGTTCAGAAGTAACTCAAGTTACTGAGGATTTCCCTCAGTCGAGTCGGTACCCTCGGCTGGAGCCGATGGAGGGCCATGTGGATATGCACTGGGAGGTGAGTAATGGCATTTGCATTCACAATTCCCCGACCCCCCCCAAATAAAAGAAAAAAGCCACAGAAAGAGAAATCATCTAATTTTTATGTACGTTTCAACACTACAGGGTCATGGTGTTGGAGAATGCACAAATCAAGAGATTGTAAGATATGGCGCTGGTGCAGCAAATTCTGCTATCAATAATCCCGATTTAGGATGTGCGCATGCTTGCGAAAACCCAGGAAGAGGTAGATCTCAACTCTGGTGACTCTGATGGTTCCACATTCTCTTGGCTAGAACCAGCTTTTCTATGCTAATAATCTTTGAAATGGCAGAACATGTGGGAATATTCTGATTGATGGACTTCTTAGTAGTGCATTCTTCATCTATGTATGTGGTTGCTTGTGGAGTAACGCCCAAGCAACAAATGCTCGGGAGTTTCCGAGCGTTGTTTAGTGTGTTGCCATTATGAAGTCAATGATGCAGGTTACTTGAACTCCGTCCATTGTGATATCTGGGAGAAACTAAGTCCTTACTATTTCTTGTTTATTGTTTGTCGTATTTTGGTGCCAGGGGAAGAGACAATTTTCTGTTGTATCCTCCATTTCTTGGAGTATCCCACACATCCGAGTTCTGCCGTAGAGCGCCCTGCTCCATTTACTGGAGCAAAGAAAATTGATGGGCATGCTCTCTTTCTTCTCTATGGAGACTCCTCCTTCCATGTCAAGGCCGAGGTGACTCTTGGAGGAGGTGGACGTGGGTGCACTAACGACGCTTTGTCACGCGGGTTGGAGGGGTTTCCGTTTGTTACTGATTGCGAGGAGAACGGAAGTCGATCAGGAAAAGGAGCGGCTAACTGCGGATGTGGGATCTTATCATCACTTGTACAGTTGACTCTCTCCGGTTACTATGCTGGCCTCGCTGGGAGGACATGTATTATTGGAGACTTGCACGATACTTTTAGGTTATTGTTTCTGGAGGTGGTGTGGCTGATTGAACAGATTTCTGTTTGGTGTGCCTGCATTGAACGATGGGTGTCTTTTGCGTCTCTGTTTGTGTTGTTCGTGTTTTCCTCGCTCTTTGGAATTGGTAGTTTTTCAGCTCCCCACATCACGTGCAGTTCATTTAGTACACCGATATCATTAGTTTCTAGAGTAGGGTCATTTAAATTGCTGAGGTTTCAGTTGATCTCACCAATCCGAGTGTTTCGAGAGTAAATTCCAGCCGAGGAGGAAGATCTGGATGAGAATGTGCTGATTTCGAAACTATAAACGGTCCAAAGACACTTCTGTATCTTGGAATATTGCCTTAGCTTAGAAGTAATCCTTTTTTGGCTTGAAGTTTTAATCTTTTGATTTCCCATTTTGTGTAATTTTGATCTCTGACCTCCTTTCGCTTCAAATTTGACATTGATTCTTGCTCGTGACCTGCAAAATCGGATCTACGCAATCGAATCGGATTGTACGAAAGGGATCCATGGGAACTTTCCGATCTAAGGTCACGTGCTAGGATTGCTGTGCAAATTTGACACTATGGAGGGGTCAAAATCACAAAAAACCAGAGGAGTTGAAGAGTTAGGGTGTCGGATCATAAAGGCTAGGGATGAAATTGTAGAAATGATCATGCTTTATAGTTTATTCATAATTACTTTAAGATTTAGTCAATTTCTTTCTTCTCCGTTTATGGGTCGATATTGTTGTTAAAGTACTAATGCTTGTCTGACCGGACCTGTTTTAGCAACTGTTTTTCTGCTTGTTAGTTGCCCAGACACTAAGTACGATTGGGAATGTGCCAGTTTTGATGACTAAGAAAGGAGTAGAAAACAGAGGTATAGAACATCAGTTCGCATCCCGTAAGGCCACTTTAGAACCGGACTTCGTTGGGCAAACTTTGTTAGTCAAAACCAGCCAAGGTGGGTCGTCGGACATTCTAATCCTTTAGTGAGTCCCCATGCTGGTCTGTACGGGCTCTATTAAGTCTTTGTCGCACCTTGCCTTTGGCTTGATCGTATTAATCGATTGATTGTACCAATTGAAGTACGATAGGGTTGGGTATTAAGGGTGCGTTTGGCAACACGTTTGCAAAACCCTTAGGACCTCTAAAGGTTTTTGGGCAAATGCGAATGTGTTTGGCACAAACATTGTTTAAAACCCATTTGAAAAATGCTAGTATTTCCAAGTACCCTCCAAGGGCCTTGGCAAGCGGAGAGGAGCGTGGAGAAGGCAGCTTTCTCGGCGTGCAACATGTACTGAGTCTGGGATTCGATTTTTGTGAATGTCGCGCACACATGTACATCGAATAAAGGAGCGTGACACAAAAAAGAGCTCAATTAATGAATTTTTTTTAATTCACTCACTAATCATAATCCCTTCTTTAAAAAAAAACACTCTCGCCTCTTTCTCTTCTCTCGCCTCTCTTCTTTCACCACACGAATGCAAGCTCAGTTGGTGACATTGCTCGCTTCTCTTCGCCTATCTCACAAACATAGCCCATTCACCTCTCTTCCCTTGCCTCGCGAACACAACTCAGCTCAGCTGGTGAATTCCTGGTTTGTGCTTGATTTGAGAGCCTTAAGCCCGTGTGGAGTTCCCGGTTTGTGTTGGGTACTTATTTTTCCACTTTCGCTTCCTAGGTTGTGCTTGATCGGAGAGCTTCAAGCTCGTGTGAGTTCCTGGTTTGTCCTGAGTATTTGTTTTTCCACTTTCGCTTCCCAGTTTGTGCTGGATTTTGGTTGTTGCACACGTCTTTAGTTGTCCTAAGTGCTCTGAAGGTTTTCACTTTTATCCCAATGAAGTGGTATATTAAGAAACTCCATAGCAGTAACTTTTCTGTGAGCTCTATTTATTTTTAAATCTATAAGAGGGTTATGGAAATTTGAGAGATTGGTTTGTACAAAATTTTGGATCGTGTTTACCTGAATTGCGCTCTGTACTTCTAAAACTCTCGTCTCATGTAATTCCACGAAAATTTTGTTAAGGTTTCTAGAAATTAATGGGATTGGTCTTTCGTTCATTAATGTTGGTGCGATCCATTTAGCAATTTGATACAAGAATCCTTGCAGGCTGTATTAGAATTCGCTAATCATGTTCTCTTTTTTGCACACTGGGATTTTCTTCTTAAACTTTACAGATGTTCATCTAATGCTATATGGATCTTTAGAATTGCTCTAACTTTTTTCATTCCGTTCCTCGCCTATGCCGAATTCGTAGTCGCTTGTATTCTCAAGTTCATCAAGAGTCTTGTTTTGTGTTGTGCATACCCTGTTTCAATATAGAACAATTCAAGAGCTGTAATAGCTGTAGATGGTGGTTATAATTACCTTTTGTTGGTTCTTTTTTAAGATGTGTAAAAAAATGTTTTGTTTTGGACAAATCAATTCATTATGGTGCCTCTGCATCCTGCCGAGTTCAGCTCTATCATAATATGCAATAAGGGTCACTCTTACATAATTGGCTCGAAATGTATCATCTTTCACCATTGTGAATTTTGTTTTCTGCAGGCCTTGCGGTATGGAATAACCTCGACGAGCTTTGCCACGGCTGGATGGAGGAGGCCTGGGGAGAAGTCCCTGAAGCTAGACCTTAGGCTCAGCAGGGAGTACTTTGCTGTCATAGAGGAGCAGATCATCAGTTTGCCTTGTTCGGAGATGTGAAAGAGTTTGTATCTTTGTTGTTCCGTTTTTCTGTTGCATGTTTTTCGGTTGATATGAGTTTCGAGCTGCATTTGTCGGGGAATGAATGCAATCGGACTAGTCGCTTCGCATCTCCTCTGTACTGTATAATTGATTAGAGTCAAACCCGTGATTTGGCTGGAAAACACGATGTTTATCTGTTCGTCTGATCGATCAATGTAGCCATGTTTTTTTGCTTTTGACTGGAAGCCTTGAAATGATTCTGTTTCCTCTACACAGTCAGGTGATTGTCTTGTGCACAGAATAACACCAATTAGCTCAAGGTTTGTCTGGAAAAATATGACTATTCATTTAGCAAGTGCTGCACCATCCTACAAGTATAAATTTTGAGTATAACCCGTGGAAATGCTATGAACTTAAGAAGACAGATATGTCAGAAAGATGGAGCAATTATACTTACTACTGACTTGGCAATTTCCTATAGATGTTTGAAGAGGAATCATTGAATTCGTGGGTTTCACTCGTTTAAGTACTTCATTGAAATTTGTCATGTCGCTTAACTTAAAAAAAAATGATCTTTTTCATTTATAAATTTATTAATGAGTTTCTTTTACATTGTTGTCGACATTCAAATTGTAGTGTGTTTTCATCAAATCATTTCTCCAAAAGTTGCTTCCCAAAATCCTTTTCAATTACTGTATACCGAACAGTACTTGCTTTTCATAAAAGGGCTTTAGGCTAAAGTCGTTTACATTTTCTCGAAAACTTTTCCCAAAAGCCGAACCAAATATAGCTTAAGATATATCAGAAATCACTCTCGAAACAACATCAAATGCATGCAGAGAAATCCATAGAAAGTCCGATTTGAAAACTGTAACCTTTAGATCACTGGCCACTTGTGTAAGCTTTGCTCATACGCTCCATAAACAACCGTCATCCGGCAGAGCTGCGATGCGGGGAAAATATTTGGCTCGCGCTTTCCGTGTGACGATAACAGACTTCGCAAATACCGCAGTAGCATGGTTGTTACTGCTGGCGACTAGCCGTTGAAGATAAAGGATCTTCATCACGTTACTACATGTCGATAGGAATCAAATAGTCTCTCGACGGAGGGTGAGAATCCACAAACCTTTTAGCAATGTCAAGAGACGATATATGATTTATCATCGCGCACTAGTCTCTTAAACTTTTCAAAACAAACCACCGGTGCGATTTCATCGACGGCGACTTAGACTGACATTGTTCTCGAGAAGAGGAAAGAAAAGGTAGTTCACTAAGATACATAATACCTGTTACTGTAAGTTACATGTTTCGATCTACAAGAAGGACAAAGAGCACGCAATCAAAAACGTACTGTGAAGTAGTCCATGGGCACAACGAGGATAGCCAGACAACTCTAAAAGGGAGCAGATAGAACATTCCTGGGTTCGGGACATTGCGACTTACTCTCTCCGTGCCCGAAATGCTCCTCGTTCGGATCCATCGCCGTGTCGGCATTCGCCGTCCCCTCGGTCACCACCGGCTTCAATCCCTGTACATGAGCAGACACATCGATAACGGACTAAAGTTTCGCCAATTTGGACTATTCTTACGGCGATATACGCACACACGTCTCCGGTCCATGTAGCAATACTCTTCAACCCAAATGTTAGCACCTTAAAAGCTGCCAACTTTTCTCATACATCGGGTCACAAGAACTAACCCATCTGTAAATTTCTCTTGTAATGCATTCGCTACGATCACCATCCACGCTGTCGAAACTAATTCGACCATAATTTTTGCAAGCCAAACGCTCTGAAGCGCTCGGAACGAGTCTTGCGATATCATCTAGTATCGATTTCGATAACCCGTTCGCAGTATCTCGATCATCATCGAACCCAAAAGGCGAGGAGGCGGGGAGAGAGAGAGAGAGAGCACGTACCGCGGTGAAGACGGTGAAGGCTTCATCTATGCTCCTGGTGTTCACCACGTACTGCGCAGCTTCCTGAAACAGCACCACCGATCGGAGAATCGAAACCAAAGACACATGAACACACACCCATCATCACAACCAACACGTTCGATCATATGAACACGAAAAAAATAAAGAAAGTCGAAATCTTTACCCTCGCGAATTGGATCTGATGGACACCCAGCGTCCTGGGCTCGCTCTCTATGGACGATTTCCGGTCGATCCTACTCGCCGTCGCCGGCTCCATCGCATCAATGAATCCCTCCCGTCTCGTCTCGTCGTGTCGCGTCGCCACCATGCACAGACGACGGGACCGTCCTCTCCCTATATATATATACACGCACGCACGCAGGACCCCATGCAGTGCGCGAAGAGAGAGCGAGATGATCAGCCACGGAAACCGGAGGACGGGTGGAGGCGCGGGAGCTGAGGGGGCGCGAGCCGCCTCCACCTGGCGGACAGCGAGGGGGGCGGCCGGGGGCACGTGGCGGGCGGCGGCGGCGGCGGCGGCGTCCTCCGCCGCCGTTTGAGGGGAAAACCCCCCAGAACTCGGGTACCGAGGACCGACATGGGAGAATCCTGTCGGCGCCGACACCGACTGAGATCGCGCCACGTGTCTTCATCGGAAGACGAAGGGGGAGGGGATCGTGTCGGTACACGTGTATGGAATGGGTGTTCGTGATCGGCGGGCCCCTACCACCTCGCAAATGTGCGATCCGGGATCAGATTAATCATTGTCGCGGGAGAATGGAGATCTTGTTGGAAAGTGTTGACGCAGTCCGATGGATGGTGACATTATAATCCGCGAGGATTTTTTAAGCCAAAGGTAGCATTTTCGTAATGATATAAATAATTCATGAATTTTAATTTAATATATATTGTGATTCGTGAACTTTTAATTTTAAGCCTAAGGTAACGCGACCACGGTGGCACCTAGGGTTGCGTGAATCCAACGTCACCTCGCCTGGGGTCGCAACCTTTGTAGCCCTCGCCTGGGGTCACTTGACCTTGACAATGGGCCATGGCTTGAGTTGCCGGGGTCGCTCGATCTCATCTTTGATGTTTTTTTTTGGGAAAAATACCACAAAAAATCCAAAACTATGCCATTTGTGATAAATTTACCCTGAATTTTTTTTTGTGACACAAAAAACCCCAAACTATGTCACTTGTGATAAATTTATCCTGAACTTTTTTTTGTAACAAAAAAAATCTCAAACTATGTCACTTGTGACAAATTTACCCTGAACATTTTTTGTGACACGAAAAACCCAAAACTATGCCACTTGTGACACATTTACCCCACAATATTTTGGCCCATGGACATTTTCGTCTTTTTCTATTTTTTTTTCCTTTTTTTTTTTTTCTTTTCTTCTCTCTTCCCTCCGCCGGCCATGGCGGAGGGAAATCGGCGAGGGCCGCCCTCACCGGCGCTGGGGTTGGGCAAGGGTTGCCTTCGCTGGCGTCGAGCTGCCCTCGCCCGCCTAGGCGAGGGCGACCCTCGCCGGCGTCGGGAGAGAGTCGTCCTCGTCTGGGCGGGCGAGGGCAGCCCTCGCCCGACTTAGGCAAGGGCTGCCCTCGCCCAACCCAACGTCGGCGAGGACCGCCCTTGCTAGCTTCCCTTTGCCATGGCCGGCGGAGGGAAGAGAGAAGAAAGGAAAAAAAAAAGGAAAGAAAACAGAAAAGGAAAAAGACGAAAATGCCCATGGGCCAAAGTATTGTAGGGTAAATGTGTCACAAGTGGTATAGTTTGGGGTTTTTCGTGTCACAAAAAAAAGTTCAGGATAAATTTGTCACAAGTGGTATAGTTTGGGGTTTTTCGTATCACAAAAAAAAGTTCAGGACAAATTTGTCACAAGTGGCATAATTTGGGGTTTTTGGTGGTATTTTTTTTTTTAACTTTTCTTAAGCTAAAGTCCTTTACAAACATTATGCAATTAGTGTTTACCAAATCCTTTAAGCTAAAGTCCGCTTTGGGCAAATGCTCTTGTAAACGCACTCGAAGGACATTTGGCAGAGTTCCTCTAAAGCAATTTGTAACCGTAAAAAATGCATAATTCGGCTTTAAAACATGTCAATCACACACGCCACAACATGATAAACAAAGAGATAATAAAGTTTATAGCACAACTACAAAGTTCATAGACAAAGGATGTTGTTTGGCTTTCCTTGTTTTGTTTTGTTGGAGCGATAGATGCTTTTTAACTGGGCCGGAAATACCGGACACGACCGTTTACATGATATAGATACGACACGTGGTAAAACACGAATTACGGAGAATAAACTATTGGACCCAATACGTCTAATTTTATATATTGCCAAGAGAGCCGACACAAATTATCCGATTTTCATCGTAATTCAATTATTTGGTGTGTAGAATTGAAACCGAGACGTTTTTGAAGGAAATGGACCGACACGAATTACAAACATGACTATACCGCGTTGATATAATTGCTAGCCTCTGTTTTAAGGGGAGTGATGCTAAAATCATTGCTTTTACATTATCGTATACGGAAGTTGAAGAAATGCATTGCAGCAACTGTATGTATTGCCGTCGGCCAAAAAGAAAAGGATAAAAGTCGACATCCAAATTATTAATTCTATTCATTATTTACTAGATCATCGGAAAACTTATTGCGCTAGAATTAATATCAAGGGATAAATGCATAATAATCTTAAAACTCGTCGTGAAAGTACAATTAAATCCTAAAAATTTTAAAAAGTGCAATCGAGTTTTAAAACACGTCAAATTTATGCAATCAAGTCCCTCTGTTAATTTCATCCTTTTTTTTTTTTCATCCAGTTTGATTAACGGAAAATGGTAAAGTGGTTTTTGTTATTACTTCCTTATGACATGTGGCGCCCACCAAGCATCACATTAGAAAAAATTGAAAATTTTAAAAAGAATACATTATAAAAGGACAAAAAATCAAAAGAAAAAGAAAAAGAGGATAAAAGAAAGAATGATAATTTTTGTTAAAAAATAACAAAGCTAAAAAAAAAGGGCAAAGCATTTTCGGTCGCTGAGCTCGAAAAAGCTCGAGCGACAATGGCCTTGAGATCAATAAAGCTCCAACTGCCACGGCCGCAAGCTCCAAATCTCATTCGATCTATGAGCTCGACGAAGCTTGAGCGGCCATGGCTGCGAGCTCGAACTGTCAAGGATGTGAGCTTCAAATTTCCTTCACTCCACGAGGAAGCTCGAGCGCCATGGCTACAAGCTCGAAGAAGCTCCAGCTGACACCAAGGAGAAGAGGGCAAAGAAGAAAGATAGTTCAAACAAGGTTGTGGTTCGAGGAAAAGAGACATTGTTTTCGGCATTGGTTCACACTTGGCTTAAGGCTAACAACTGCGTAGGAGAGAGAAAATAATAGAAAAAAACCATGTCAGCATTTTCAATTAGTCAAGACGGAGTCAACAGAACGAATTAATTGTACAAATTTAACAATTTGTAAAACTTGATTGCACTTGCACTTTCTTAAAGCCTTCGGAAGAAAGTGTAATCTTGTGATAAAGGTTTTGGATTCCTTGTGCAATTATTCCTAAAATCAAAGGCCTAATACTCTAAAAAATTCCCAATTTTAGATCAAATCTCAATCCTATTTTAATTTTTTTTGTTCCATAAAAAACCTCCAACTTCAGGTCTAGTTCCAATCTAGCCTAATTTTTTTTTTTATCTTATAAAAAGTCACCAACTTTTACGTGAGGCCCAAATCTACCTCCTTACCCTCCGTTCAAAGTTGCTCTTGATAACCGAGAGATGAAAAACTCCCGAGCGCAAGCTATACGAGCGTCCCGAGTCGAGTGTTCTGAGTGCGAGCTCTCCGACCGCAAGAGATGGAAGACTCCTGAGCATGAGAGATTGAAAACTAAGTGCAAAATCGAAGATTCCCAAGCGAGATAGAAGGAATACTCTCTTTAGAATAAGAGCAATTGAAGAAAGCCAATCCTAATTGCTCTAGTTTTTCCCCCAAATTTCATATCGAAGAAGACGTCATTTCGGCTGGCGTGGAAAATCATCTCCAAAAGACAGCTTTTTGGATTTGAAATTTGGTGAAAAACTAGAACAATGACGTGGAAAAGCCACATCAGTAATGACGATTTTGAAAAGAGGGTTAACGGGGGCAGATAGAGGACTTAAGTAAAAGTTGGTGATTTTTTTATGAGACAAAAAAAGTTTAGGGTAAAATTGGAATTGGACATAAAGTTGAGAGTTTTTTTTATGAAATGAAAAAAAAAGTTTAAAATAGAATTAGAACTGTAGCTAAAGTTCGGGTTTTTAAGGGAATTCGGCCTAAAATCAACAGGAAAGTAATTGAAATTTGGATGTAGTGTCGAGTTTTTTTTTTTTGGTAACCGAGGTGTCCGGGCCAGCTTGCGCGCACCTCGACTATTTCTCGGGGGAGACTAGCACAGCAACCCACCGCCATGACCCCTCACTTAAATCACAAGTGCTCAGCTGGGGAATCGAACCTGGGATCAGTGCGCCTAACCACACAATCCCAAGTACGCCCTAACCAACTGAGCTACCCATCATGTCGGGTTTAGTCTCTGTTTGATTAAATTTTGGTATTCTTGGGGCCAAATGTTCCACGATGGGTTGACTTACCAAAGAAAGATTAAGTGAGAATCGATGGGTGCTTAATCCGGGTTGACTTGGCTCCAAGGTACATGGGCCCAACTTACCAGTGGGGAAAACCAAACAGCAAAAGCGAACAAAAAACTCTCTGGTGCCGGAAAGACAAGCAGTCGACAGACAGAAAAGAGTCGAGACTTGGACTTGGTGGCATCAAGATTCTTTCTTCCGATTGCACAAAGTGACGGTTATAACTTTGGATAACCCGCCAATCATCATTATCCATGCGCCGCGAAACCGACCCCTTTAGTCGTCACGCGCGCTTCGCACTGGGGGGTGCGCATCGGTCCCGATCCAAACTCGGGAACTGGATTGGACTGGATCAAACCGGCCTGTTCTGGGTGGTTCCTAATTCCGCATAAGGAATCTGACCGACAGATTGGCCAAGATTTCTTAATTTTTTTTTATTACGAAGTAAACTCTAATTAGTAAAATTCTTTTTTCTTTTAATGTTGGGAAACTCTCACTTGTAGGGAATAGAAGAAATCAAAGAAGAAGAAGAAGATGAAGAAATCACTTGGTCCGGGAGCGAACCTGGAATCGGACCGGATTGGTGGACCAGTTTCCAATTCGACAAACTAAGAACTGACTCTGGCCGATTTGGTTTTAGGTTTCAGGATGGGTTGTTTTCCACCCCGGAACCGATCATTTCTACTCTGTACGTCGCTTCCGATTGACTTCTTACTAGCACGTGCCATCGTCATGTGACATAGCCATTGCATTGGAACATCTATTCCGCTGGTATAACGATAATTAACGAAACGAAACCTTTGGAAAACACCCGCACGACCGCCGTCGAAGGTGTGGTTAATATCGTTGGAAGGTAAATGTGGCATGGTAAGGTCAGATTCTTAGATTTCTCCTTTAATTGATTTGGCTTTTGCTTAACCCGGAGCAACTGAGATCGCTCGAACATATGGGGAATGAAGAACGCATGTGGGGTTTCTACTAATACTTTTATCTCTCTCGTGGCATGCTTTATAACCAAATCTAACTTTTGAATTAATTTTTCTATTTAGGATGCGGTTTTTTTTTTTCCGCTGAAAACTTAACGATAAAGGAAAATATTTTCTATAAAATCATTATTTAGGAAATGGTTGATTTCTATTTGTTTGCTGACTCAGTGGAAAGTGATTTTCTACTTGTATAATCGTGATATCGTTTTTCCCCAATTTAAGTTTGTTGTTTCCAACTCATGGCAAACGTTTTTTTGCAAATCAATTAGTTCTCCGTCATCCAAATACCGGAAAGTCGAAAAAATGAAATTCCAAAAACCGTTTTCCTTAAGATAAACAGACCCTTAACTCGATTTAAATTTGGAAACATCCAATCTTATGCGCGAGACAAGATCTCCAACTTTCCTAGTTAACTGCAAAACGCATGTAATATTATTCATCGATGGTCACAAGGCGGCCAGCGGAGCACCAATGGATATAGCTGCGGATATCATCAGCTCATCAGGATGTCAACATTAAAGTAGAAGCTAGGTCTCTCATGAAACTGCCACGAACATCGATTTCAACTGTAATGTCGTCGTTTCGTAGACGATAACGACGTGATTTCTCGACGTTGTTTGCATGGAGCATATCCATTCTGAATTGCGAATGTGATATGGCTTTTCCGTCTGCTCTGCCAACCTGCTTAGAAAGAGCAGAAGCGAAGACAAAGCCACCCCACGACAGACGACATCGTAGTCCATCGGATATTGTGCGTCGTTATCTCTGCTTGGACTAGGACTGCGAGCTTGTCATCGTGGATGCGACGAATCGGGACGAGTTTTCGAGAAAATAATATTTTCAAGTTATTTATTTTTCGCGAAATAGACGGAACTTTTCACGATAAAAGTAGTGGTAATTATTAGTCTCTTCTCTATACTTGATGTTGAGATGCACGTGCGAGTTGTGTTAGAAGAGTTCGGCATCGAAGAATTTAGTATGCCGTGGAGACTAATTGCCTCATGACTCATCGACTCGAGCCTTTGAGTAAAGGTGTGATTAGCTGAATATATTGATGGACTTAAACTCGAGAAATTTCCTTTGCCATGATGTCCTTAATCTATATCTACAAGAAATTTAGCTAAAAAGAAAAAAAAATTATGTCCGCGAGAAAGATTGAAATTAGTTTTTTTATATAAAAAACTTTCCTTGGAGAGAGGGAAAATTATCAAAAAAGTAATAAACCTATTGCAATTGTACCAATTCAATCCTAAACCTTTCTTTTGTGCCAATTCAGTCCTAAACCTTTTGCATTTGCGTCAATTCAATCCACCTGGTGATGACGTGGACACTAGCTGTTCAGCCAACGCTGATATGACAATTTTTAAATATTTTTTTTGAATTTTTTATTAATTTTTTTCTTTCTCCTTTGTTTCATTCTTTTCTTTTTTTTCCCCACAGTGGCCAGTGAGGGTTGTGGCCCTCGCCTAGCCTTGCCTAGATCTAGGCGAGGCTTGGGGGCCGCGTGCGAGGTAGCCTCGCTTGCGGTTGGCGAGGCCATGGTGAGGGCTTTGCGGGCCTCGCGCAGTGGCTGGCGAGGTGGGAAAAAGAAATGAAAAGAAGGAAGAAAAGGAAAAAGAAAAAGAAAAAAAAATAAAAAAATTCGAAAAAAAAATATTACATCAGCGTTGACTGGACGATCAACGTCGACCGCCGTCCACGTCAGCGTCGGCTGGCCAAAATTGGCTGGATGAACCGAATTGACACAATTGCAATATGTAAGACTTTTTTGGTAATTTTCCTTTAGGTAGAGTGGAAGTGCATTTCATACTCTCACCAATTATTTTATTGGCCTACTCCAATTTATTTTGTTTTCTTTTAACAAAAGATTTTCCTTTTTTCCTTTTCAATTACGAATGCATACGTCATAATAAGTATATACCATTTCTCAAACATTTCATCCGTCTTTTGTTTATTTTTTTACTCTCACTATTTCCCTACCATTGCGGATTTTTCTCTCTATTTTTTTAAATTTTTTTCTTTTTTCGCTTTTCCACACGCGCGTGTGTGTGTGTGTGTGTCCTCCTTTTTTTCTTTGGCCTCATCCTTAATTGTTTTCTTTCTTGCTATGTGAAAAAATATTGCTCAAACTCAATATCAAATTTGCATAGCTTAAGTTTATCTTGATTATAGTTCTAATTTGTTGAAATCATATAGGCTTATTGGACAAAATTTAGATTCTGGTTCGAGTTATATATGTAGATTTCCAAGAGTGATATCGAATTCCATGATAAAATCATATTGGACCCTTTGACTTGACTAGCAAAGTAGCAAGTATTTCACACTTGTGTTTATTATATTTGGCTCAAAGTTGACCGGTGATGCAATGAGATGATTGTACTACGTAGAATAATGATATTATAAAATATTAACGAAATGCGAATTTATAATTATGGAAAAATTATATATTTTGAGTCTCGATATAGTCAAACATTTATATGATTTTTAAAATTATAAAGAATTATGTATCATCTCACGTGTCACTGATTGCGAGTTTAAATGAATGTAAATATTGTCATCCCAAAGAAATGTTTCTCGAATAAACACAAGCTTTTGTGGAACAACCTACTTTAAGTGGATAATAGCTCTTAGTTTTGCTCCAGAATAGGGAAACTATTTTAATCCTAAAATAATGATATGACATATATTATGCATGATTATTCGACCGTTTTTCAATTTCTAATAATTAATGGTTTTGAAACTTGGAGATACTAAATAAAAAATTGAATTGCAAACGCAGTGCATGTTGTTAATTGCTCTCCTATGACTAAGTTGAATTTGCATTGACAATTTCAGTTTGTTAGCACGGTTAGATCTCTCTGCATTCCAAGTTAATAGCCTTATCATCAATTTAATTTTTTTCGACCAAACAATTTTTTTTTTAATATTCATTCTACAGAATTATATTCATTTATATACACGGTTTTTTCGTATTTTATCTATTTATTTCTCAAATGAAATATCTATTTACCTTCAATATGTTACTAATATCTTTCCTGACCAACAATATCCATGATTACAATGAAACAAAGAGCCTTATCTTTTTTCTTCCTTTTTTTGTTGTTGTTTATCTATTATATTATAAAGGGTTATTACCACCAAAACCCTATACTAATACACTCGTGCCTTGCCACATTTATCTCAAATTGATTTTTGTGTCACAAAAACTCCCGAATTGGTATATTTGTGTCACATCCCAAGTTTCTACACCCATGCCACATTTACACAAATTAATTTTTATGTCACAAAAAATCTCAAATTGATACACTCGTGTCACACTTACCCTATATCGATATATCCATGCCACATTTACCATAAAAAAATTTCAAATTTACAACAATTTGGGGTAAATGTGGCATGGGTACATCGATACAGGGTAAGTGTGACAAGAGTGTATCAATTTGAGATTTTTTGAGATACAAAAATTAATTTGGGGTAACTATTGCACGGGTATATACCCGTTTGGAGTTTTTTGTGGTATTAAATAGCTTTTTTTCATCTTTTTCAATTTTACTTTTAAAGTGACAAAATTTATTTTCCTTCCATTCTTTTTGCAATTTATGTGTTAGGGTCAGGATAAATGATTACATTATAGTCTAGTTTTATTTAATACATCTAATTTTTTTATTTAATACATTAAAAGAAATATGTAATTTTACGTTATTTCTTTATTATTCCATCTTTTAATCTATTTTTTTTCTCATGAGATTCTTCCTCTTCCAAATAAGTACAACTCAATCCTCTCGTGAAAAAATCGATTTATTCCAGCTGAATTATGCATGGATAATATCAATTCTTGTTTTTACTTTGTGTTGTATCTAAAGGTTTTTTTTTTTTCATGGACTCATAAAAAAGTTTAGATTTTTTGACGGTATGTTTAGAGTATAAAAAACCTATAAACTTATCTTAATATGAGGGGATAATGTTGTTTTATTTATATCCCAAACAAACGGTACACACTTAATCGATTTCTAATTGCTTCGCTCTAAATGAGCTTCAACTAAATTTTACATGGGATCAACTTCGACATCGTACTTAGATTATGTCTTGATTGACAATTGAAACAAGCAATTCTCTATTGGGTATTTATATAATTTTATATCGAATAAAATAAAAACAATAACGGGGGAAATTCACGATAAATAATAATAAAAAAAAAACTCTATTCCGATAGGGAAACTCGGGTAACGTGCACAATAATAACAAAAGCAGCAAAAAGCAGAGTTTGCCTCATTTTCCACGCCAACGGACAAAACTAACTTACCGAACTAAACTCCAAATCCTCACCCTTCCCGAGAAACTACCCGCGCGAAATCTCCACCGTCCATTTTTTTTATTTCCATTTTCCATTTTTCATTTTCCATTTTCGCTCCGCCAATATAAACAAACCAAAAACCAACTCACGACGGTCTCACTCCTCCGCAGTACAACAGCGCGGTGGCTCCTCCGTGACCCGGCCCCCCCGGCTCGGCCATGACGCGCCTCCCCGCTCCGGCCGACGCCGCCGCCTCCCCGCCGCGGCCCGGCGGAGGCCCGGCCCCCCCGGCCGCCGCCCCCGCGGCCACCGCCGCACCTCCTGGTGCTGCTCCTTCACCGTGCCGCCTTCCAGCCCCGAAACCCTAGCGGCCTCCCAGAACCAGCCGAGGCCCCTCGGCGGCAAGAGCTCCAAGCCGGTGAAGCCTCCCGAGTCGCTCGCGAAGCACGGCGCCGTCGCCGGCGCCGCTGCCGCGAGCTCCATCCCCAACTCACCCCAGAGCTCCAAGTCGGGGCTCGGCATCGTCGGCCGGATCGATCCCCGACGGATCCTGTCGCCCGGCCGAGTCTCTCCGATCGACTCCGATTCCGTCCACGATGCTGATCCGGCTCCTAATCCGTCGGCGGACGTGGCCAAGCAGCCGCGATCCGGTGAGTGCAGCTTCCGCGCCCAGTCGGAGCGGTTCTCGATGACGGAGCTGCAGGCGGAGAGCTTCCGAGCGCCCTCCGAGGGGCTCCAGGCTGCGCACGAGGGTCTGTCGTTGTCCAGATCGGGTTCCAGCGATAATGCAGACAACATGTTTGATGTCAGGCTTAATTTGAGGGCGAAGAACGGTGGGTGCTTGGTTTTGGAGCTTAATTCGGAGGTTTTGTCCGCGAATTCGGAGGTTTTTGCCGGTTTGATTGCGGAGCACCAGAAGAGCTTTGGCCAAAATGGGAGTTCCGCGAGCATTTGTCGGATTGAGGCCCCCGAGGTCGAGAATTTGGGGATATTTAGGGAGACAATTGAGTTGATGTTTGAGGATGACATCGCGAAACGGCTTTTGAAGATTGGTGTATTTCGCTGCATTGATATACTTGAGGTAAGCAATCTATGTTCTCTTGAGAAGGGTGCTATCTTCCGGTTTTGCTTGCGCAGACAATTGGATTCGCTTGACGGGGAGCAAGTAGTTTTCTAGTTCACGTGTATTCTAGCAACTATTTAGAAGGAGATGAGTTGTAATGATGTTCGATGATTTACTCACAAATTTCAAATGCATTAATCTGCAGTAACCAGAGCCTAACAGTAAGTCTCTTAGAGAATACTTTTTAATTGCGCATGCTAAGCTTGAAATTTTGTGGACAAGAAGAAATTTCATTAATCACCCTAGCCCAAACTTAACTGAAGGCTAAATTCTGATTCTACTAGGCAACCAAACCCCAGGTGAATGCAACTTAGGTTGTCGCAGATATGACTTGAAGCAATCTCCCAATGAACTCAGTCACACATGGCTGTTCTTCTTCCCTGCAAAAGGAAGTGGAAATCCCAAATTCATAGTATCCTCTCCGCCATATGTGTTTGCAGCACGGATGAATGTCCGCTAGTATCTTGCAATGTGCTAGGATGTATTTCTGTCTATCGATGGCCCCCAATCATCCTAAATCCTTTCAATGAAGTCTTGAGATCTCTGATATTTTTTTTCTTTTTCTGGTAGAACCTTAGATGCTAAGCTTTATACTTATTTGGCTGGTAATTGGAGAGGAAGTTCCTTATTTTGTAATCCTGGCACAAGGAAAGGGAGAACTGGAACTGTTTTTCCTTTCACGGCAAGAGAATCTGGCTTGACCTTTCAGGTTATGGCTTTCATTTGATTTTAAGAAGTCCACTTGCAATTATATGATGAGAATCGGGAGACGACTAATTTTTCGGAGCATTCTTTTTTCAATAGTTTTGGATTGCGTTAAACAGGTCAAAACTTGTTTAAAAAAATCAAAAAGTTATTTATAGATTAATCTAGTTGCAGACTTTTAGTAATATGAAGGACATTTTCATTTCATTTCCCCCTTTTGAGAATTAAATGGGATCACTAGTTGCATTGGTCTGAGGAAACGGTGACTGTAGCGAGATGCCTTTTGGCCTATCAATTTCAAAATCGTGATGGCCAAAAGATTGGGCTTTGCAGGACCAAAATCTCAAATGCAAGTGCACATCTTCTGAATAGTAATATATTCTGGTTTGTTGAAGCTTACTCTCTTTTCTTCTTAAGAGAGCGATGTGACTGTTGATCGCTTCTAAATCATTTTTCTGAGATCTGGCCCTTGGTATCTTTTATTACTTCTACTGGTGTCTGTACCAAGATTGGTGCAATTCTGTCACTCTAACTTGTTTATGGAAATGACTTAATAATCAGTAGAGAAGTATGTAACCTGGAAATACCTAGTTGTTCGTAGTCAGAAAACATTGCTTCTGTGATGCCTTGGCTTCAGCTGCTGTTTACTTTTTTAAAGTTGGCACAGACTCCACAAACCACCTTTCTACTCTTACCACTCCAACACTATGAGTTTCTATGTTTTATGGGCTGACTGTTGCCTCTCTTCATTAGCTAGTTGAAACCCTCTCTATTAGTTCTTGACTTGCTATCGCTTGTTATTATCGACTCTCAAATTTGAACAATTACCACCTACAATTTTTGAAAACTCAATCACCAATATCAATCATTGTTGCCCTCTTCGCTAGGACACTAGTATCCAATATCCGCAATTAGCATTAAGGCTAGGTCCCCTGTCACCACCTATTTGTTAGCATGATTTCCATTTTCAGAACTTCAAGCAGAAAGTGTTTCATTTTCCATAGACATTTGAGGTGTCGTGCTTTTTTTTGGCTTTCACAGAGATTTATTCCAGTGGAAACTTGATGAGTTAATCAAAACAGATTGCAACTTTTATCTTTTTGGCAAGCCATTTAACCTTTGACTAAGGCCTTCTCATCATTGCTGTTACATCGTCTTTGACTTTTATGGTGTGATGAATCTCATTTAATGGTGGCATTCAGTACAATCTTGAAAATTGCAGATACTGCTGGGGGTGGTGTTTATGTTCTTCTGTGAATTAAATGACATGAGGTTGTGTAAGAGATTTCCTCATCTATAGCAATGAATTGCCTGTCTGAAGCAAGAGTCTCGCTGCATGCTTGTTAATGTAGGAACATATGTGGGTCACTTAAACTGCGTGTGCAAAATGAGACTTATTTTGAGGAAACTGGAAGCAATATGCTCATGTTTTGTGTATCTACCGCTTGATGCATCCCTTTCATGTTCTCGTTGCAAGTCTGTTTAGAATCCAATTCCAGAGTCAATTGTCTATGTGCCATTAACTGAAGATTTGATGAGTATGGAGGATAATTAGCCTGACTTGGATGCGTCTCAGGTGCCAATATGTGTCGTAGTGTCCGACTTGTCTAAAATTTCAAATGGGGAACTCATGCCTTAGCTATTTGGACACTGCTCTTTTAGATATTTGCAATTACACTTGGTAATTTATTTGTACTGTCAGGGGCAGGTTTTGGGATGCATACAGTTTTCTTTGATATTTTAGCAATGCATTTTAATGTATATAGAATGACTTGAAAGGGCATTCTTGTTAATGCTTCAGGCAAAGTAAAAAACAACCTTTTGCCTTCCCGCCAATATCTAAAATTTTCAAAAGAATAATATGTGAATCTACGTGTCAAAATTTGAATATTTTGAATGTTTAAGGTGTTACGGGTTAAGAAAAAGTCAAAAGTGTCTGCATTGCAAGATGTGGATTAGGCAAAAAGTAAAAAGTAAAAGTCTATCTAAATGCGCCCTTAACAAAGTTGCATTTTCTGCGAATTTGGCATGATGGGCAAATGTAGTTCATGAAAAGTAGACTAGAAAAATATTGGGAAGGATACTTCTCTCTCTCTCTCTCTCTCCCTCCCTCTCTTTCTCTCTTTGACTGGTTGGCAAATGTGCACTACCTTTTTGGAAATTGAATTGTTTGAAACTGAAATTTTGTTGTCAAAGTAAAGACATCTCTTCCTGATTTCCAATCTGTACTTACTGTTCTGATTTGGTTATATTAGAATTATATCTGGCAGTCAGTTTGTGCATTTTTTATTTGTCGATTGTGGTGCGGAGGGATTATCCGGCTCTTAGTCTATTTCTTCACCATAGACTAATAGGACTAACATGAAAATTGTAATACGCTTGTACAAAGAAAATTCTCACTGTTCTTCTTTGGTTTTCTATTTTGCTTAAATAGGCTTCATATGTGTGTGTCTTCATTTTCCTCCTTTAGTTAGATGCCGAGCTCATGCACTCATATAGTTTTTCTTCTCATCAATATTCATAGCTCTTAGCTAATAGCATCATCTGCCTGAGTTCTTAATTTGCTTTCGGAACTATGGCTTGTAATAGGTGTGCCATCATATCAGCGTGGCATTTATAAAATGAAGTGAAAAGAGCCTAGTAGGTGGCGGGAGAGGAGGGGTGGGGGGGGGGGGGGGGGGAGTGTGGACTAAGAAATACCTTAACTCATGGTTCATCCTGATATTTGGATTCTCTAAGGAGTTCAGCTAACAATCCCATTCAATGATCTTAAACAGGTATCAGCTGGCATTGCGTTCAAAAGAGGCATCTTGTCTTGCTTAAAATATCTGGAGGCTGTTCCATGGACAGAGGAGGAAGAAGAGAAGCTGAGGAGCTTGTTCACAAGGTTTAACTTTGATAATGTGACAATTAAAGACATCTTGTCCAGACTTTATATGCTTGACACGGAAAATTCCCAACAGAATTTAGCTAAGCAGCTTATTTTTTCAATTACCAAATGTGCTGATGCAAATGCAAGGAATGAGCTGAAGTCACTAGTAAAGGGCCTTCTTTGCAAAAGTTCAGTCTATGTGAAGGACCAGGTTGGCCTCGACAAGCAGGATCTCTATAGTGTTTGCCAAACTTGTCTTGATTCATTAGTCAGCTTGTTGGAGGAAGCCTCTGGTTTTGCTGCTACCCATCAGACGCAGTCAAAGGATGAAACAAGTAGACCCTTGATAGAACGTATCTCTAGACAGGTCGATAATATTAACTGGCTGCTGGAAATCCTGCTTGATCGTCAAATGGCAGAGGAGTTTGTGGAGATATGGACAGATCAAAGTTTACTGCTGAAGATGCATGAGATTGCATCACCAATGGTCAGGTACGAGCTCAGTAGGGTTTCAGCAAATTTGATCATTGCGATGGGAACCAGAAGACTTCACTGCCATTCAGAAGTGAGAGCAGGTCTCTTCCAGGCCTGGTTTGGCCCTATGCTTCTGGACTTTGGTTGGCTGCAAAGATGTCGCAAGGGGCTTGAGATGAAGTTGCTGGAGGAAGCTATGGGCCAAACCCTCCTAACGCTTCCCCTGAAACAGCAGTATGCACTCTTCATGGAATGGTTCAGATGCTTCTCCAAGCACGGATCAGAATGCCCAAACCTTAGCAAAGCTTTCCAGATTTGGTGGCGTCGGTCCTTTTTGAGGGGCTCCGAGACTAATGCTATAGAGTCCAGGTAATTCGTACTGACCCTCATTGTTTGTTTGTATGAAATGTTTCTTACTAGGTCCTGTCGAGAGATTCTGAAACATCTGGAAGTGAATATGGAGATCAGCATTGTAAAATTGTTAAGATGTTTAGTTGGCTTTCTGATTTCTAGAGCTTCAGCTTCCTGTTTCTACCGTGTGCATCTAATCTTTAAGATTGTTTGAGTCTGGACAGAAGGTCAAAAGGAATATCAAGTAATGTTATATCCCTAACTCTAAGGGAGGGACGATAGTCCCGACAACTAAAACCTTCCGCACATCGCGAACTTAAATTGCAGAAATCTCCCTTCATTGTTGTGCTCCATTCACTACGATCCAATGATAAGTTCACATTCTGGAAATGGCTTACGATATTTACTCGTCCCTTGTTAAATCTGACTGAGTCACATTGGTGTTAGTTCCTAAAATGAAGTCCGATTTTGTTGCGTATCTTGCCATCGACGTTCGGCATGCTCAAATCTACTGGTTAAGTTCTTTTAATCTTATCTCTGTCCTGGCAAGATTTCTGCCCAATGTATGTTCTCTCCTGGTTTTTATTTGCATCAAAATGAACAGGACCGTGAACAAATTGGAAGCTCGAGATCTCGCAATATCATCTATTTGACCAATTGGAGCCAAACCTTTTTGGAATTGGAAGTTCCTTTTTACGGAACGGAAGGTTCGTGTTTAGAACCAATTGGAGCCAAACCTATAGCGCTCAACCTATTCTCCAAGCTTCGTGAAGTAATTTTTAATTCAAAATGAACACAATTGCCCATAAACCCATAGATCGGGAAAATTACCAAAAAAGTCCTAAATCTTTTGCAATTGTGCCAATTCAGTCATAAACCTTTTTTTTTGGCCAATTCAGTCCTAAACCTTTTGCAATTATGCCAATTTAGTCCATCCGGCCACTTTTGGCTGGCCGGCGTTGACGTGGCCGCCGGCCAGATGACGTGGCGCCGGCCGGCGTCCACGTGGCAATATTTTAATATTTTTTTTTTCCTTTTTTCTTTTTTTTTTCTTTTCCTTCTCCCTCCTGGCCTGTCCGGCCAGGGGGGAGGCTCGCCGGCGAGGGCCCAGCTCCGGCGAGGCGAGCTGGGCCCTCGCCACCGCCGGGCAAGCTCGCCTCGCCGGAGCCGGGCGAGGCTCGCCTGGGCGGCGGCGAGGGCCCGCTCGCCATGGCCGGGCGAGCTTCGCCGCGCGCCGCCGGGCGAGCCTCGCCTAGCTCCGGCGAGGTGGAGCTCGCCCGGGGCGGCGAGGGCCCGCTCGCCTCGCCGGAGCTGGGCCCTCGCCGGCGAGCCTCCCCCCTGGCCTGTCCGGCCAGGGGAGAAGGAAAGGAAAAAAAATCGAAAATAATAAAAAAATATTAAAATATTGCCACGTGGACGCCGGCCGGCGCCACGTCAGCCGGCCGGCGGCCATGTCGGTACCGGCCGGCCAAAAGTGGCCGGATGGACTGAATTGGCACAATTGCAAAAGGTTTAGGAGTGAATTGGCCCAAAAAAAAGGTTTAGGACTGAATTGGCACAATTGCAAAAGATTTAGGACTTTTTTGGTAAATTTCCCCTCATAGATCCGATGATCCGAAAGCTCTACATGTCGTCATAAATTTGAAACTTCTTCCTTGAACTATGTCTCTCAGCTCGAACTTACTTAAACTCTTTTTAGAATCAAAATTAGCAGAACTGCAAACAAATCAGATGGTCCGAAAAATATAAACATCACAAGATCGAAGATTTGACCCAATTGGAACTAAACCGTGTTTTTAGAATTGAATATTCTTCCTTGAAAACGAACTATGGCCCTCGACTTGTACAAATCGAAAGACGCAAGCGAAAGTTGTGCAAAAAGATTTTCTGTTAGACTGTCCTCGAAGTCCCGAGGAGTACGTGATGATCCTCCACAAACTCTCTCAGGCTTTTTGGGTCTTATGGGGAAAACCAACTTCTGCAAACGATCACGACACTCTTATGGGGCCCGACAATCTAACCAATTCGCCCAGTCCGATAAAGAAAGGAGCAGCCGAGCGCCTCTGTTTGAGATCGCCGGCATCCTCGACATGCGCACGGAAACAGCAATTGCTTAGATGACGCGGTAGGAAAACTATGAAAACGAAGCGATGGAAGTTAGAGCCTTCACTTTCAATGTATGTGCGGGGATACGTTCCTCTAGGAGGATATACAAATGAAAGAATGATAACCAAAGTCAACACTATTGTCTTTTCTACATCTTCATATGATACAAGTGATTAGTATACAGTGGGGGGTGTATAGACATACACTTCCGGTGTATTTCCTAATCAGTTGAAGCAGGTGATATAGCCAGATCATCCGACATCGGCAAGCAGAGGCCACTTCAGATCAAGTTCCTCTACCAGATGCCGGGTTTTTCTTCTTTAGCCTACTATGAAGATGCTGCGGCGGTTAGCTTACTTATTCTTCTTTCCGCCGGCCAGGATACGTTGGATCTGAAGCCCTCGGCTGAAGGCCTGGTTGAACAACAGCCTGGTCTGGAATTCCGAGACAAATGGGAACCATGCCAGCATGGCCACCGGCGTGAAGATGACCAGTCCCATTATGTACTCGAACCCTCTCGCGAGTGCTTTCACGGACCCCCACATTCCGAGACCCTTTACCACTGGTCTGCACGCTTGTGATATCTGCCTCATAAATAAAAAGTGCAGTGAGTTACGAGCCAAAACCATGCTCGCCGAATCACAGAGAGAAGGGTTAACGAGTCAGAAGGAAGTACTAGTCAGATGGAAAAAATTCATCGATTACAAGACCGAAAGTAAGTTCCGTGAATGCATACTGTGCGAGGAACTAACCTGCAGCAGGGCCCATCCCGTCGGCATGAAGGCCAGTAAGCTGGCGAAGATGTCTCCGACTGTGAGACTAAGGAATGCGAAGAGCATGCCCAGAGTGACTATGAACCCGATAAACAGGAACAGCTTGAGGAGTCTAAACATCAACTGGAAATCAGCACTGAACTTCTTTCTACCCATAGACACAATCTGCAAGACTCCCGTCAAAAAGATTTATATTTAGAAGAGACTCAGACCTGAAAACCGAAGGTCTCCACTGAATATGGTTTAGGCTTCCTCACCTTTAAGATGATCATAACAGCAACGATTACAAGCCATGATAATCCATAGACCTGCCACGAAATTGATTCGGAGACATTCATGATGTTAATCAGCTAAATCATCAAAAATGCCCATGCAAGAAACATACGACTCTTTGCACATAAAACAACTGGTGCCGTATGCCAACAAAGGCTTTTCTATTCCTTGTAACGTGCAATGTCATAGGAGGAAGGAAAAAGATTTGAATCTCAGATGGCAAGTAGAATGCATATGATCCATGAAACTGTATGAGTTGTTAGTTTTCACAGATGAACAATGGAGGCCTTTGCCTTGTTAAGCTTTTTCTACTCTGTAAAACTTGCGAGTGGAGAAACATAATGAGCTTATACAGATCATGAACCGAAACATAAAGTATTCCGATGTAGAAGCATGGAAAAAAGTTGTGAAGCCAGAAAGGCTTCCCTACCATGATGCTCTTGTTAGCTTGGGCGACGTGTAGGTGATAGACGATCCCATATTGGTATAGGAAGAAACGAAGAGAGAGAACAATCTCCCAAAATCTTCCCAAGAACCCGGTACTCTGTAGATGTTCCTGCTCTTCATCCCACCAGGACTCCCAGCTCTTATTTGCAGGCACACCCATGCCACCGCAATTGCTGATCCATTTTGTCCAGTCATCCCAATCATCCACTATCTTCTGCCATTCAAACCCTGAAGGATTGAAAAGGAAAGGAGCAAACAACCAGGAAACCACCAAGAACCACATGGAGACCGTGAGGAGCAAATAAGCGATCGAATCAGCGAATGTTGAACCATATATCTGATACGCTATTAGTAAGACCATGATCTCCAGTCCTTTCACAAAATGACTCCTCGAGTACATCCTGTAGTTCTCTGCAAACTTCTCATGCCGAACCACAAACCCACGGCCTGTTGCCCTGTACTTGGCCCCTCCGTGCAAAATAGTGCGTCCAAAGTAATGGGCCTTGGTACCGAGTGAGAAAGTAAAGAAGACTGCTGCCAGCTGTAGCTGCATAATTATGATGTCGCCTAACGCACTTCTGAAACCTCTTTCCAGTCCAATTTCCATTGCCATGGGTAAGGCCATTAACAAGCCAAGTTGAACAACAGACTGTGAAGCCATGGCATTCTTCAGAGGGTCATTTCCCCTAGCACGGGCAATTTTAAATATCGACTGCTCTAATCCACTCAGCGACAGGTAGAGCTTGCCATATAAGAAAAGATAGACAACAAGGACAACCATCTGCATAACGGAAACAAAGAGGATCTGTATGAGAAATAGACAAGAAGGACGACCATCTACATGATGGAAACAAAGAGGATCTGTAGGACTAGTGATATGTTAGAGATATTGCCAACATTAAACTGGTAATCACAATTTCCCAAGCTCAAGACTTGTTTCTTGATTATAGGGGTAAGATTATGCATTGAACCAACTAATGAGGTCTTGAAAATCTAAGGACAAATGCTAAAGGTAGAGGTATGTCACCACAATGCACAAGAGGACCATGGGTAGAGTTGGCAGAACATATAGTTGATGCCTTTGGGAACAATGCGAGTCTTGAAGCTAACAAAAACTACCTTGCAAATTTCCATCCTAAGAGTTACGAGATCAGTCAAGAAGGCTAGGGAATAAAAATGAAGCAGCACATTTTCCAAAAGTTACGACTTTCAATCAGCTTGTACTGTAGATATAGGCTTTTCTCAGATTGAACTCCGCATCAGCAGGACTTACCATTGCACTGACATAAAAGCCCACAGTTGTAAAGTAGGACGACAACATGCGGAAGAAGTCAAACCGGTGTCCCAACCGGTAGATATCTCTGCTAAGAGTCTGCTCCCCATTACCACAAGCTACCTTTGCTTCAAAGAGTGATATTTGATTGAGTCCAACATCTCGACCCTTGCCAACTTGTATATATTCATGATGAGTGACATTCCCTCGTCTAAGTGTTGAATTGAATCCTACACAGACATCATACTTTTTAAGAAGCAAACTAAACTTCGATTTTGTTGCATTCAAAGG